TACATGAAAATATGTTCAAGATCACTGGTCATTTGAGAGATACTAATTGAAACAATGCTGACATTTCATCTCACTGGTGAAAGAATGGCTACTATAAAATAATCAAATAAAAACAATTGCTGGGAAATAAATACATGAAAAAATGTTCAACATCTCTGGTCATTCGAGAGATGCAAATGAAAACAACCCTGAGATTCCACTTCACTCCAGAAAGAATGGCTGCTATCATGAAATCAACCATTAACAAATGCTGGCAGGGCTGTGGGGAAAGAGAAACCCTGCTCCACTGCTGGTGGGAGTGTAGACTGGTGCAACCACTGTGGAAATCAGTATGGAGATACCTCAAAGAACTAGGACTGGAAGTCCCATTTGACCCCACTATTCCACTGCTGGGGATCTTCCCCAAAGAATTCAAAGAATCATACCACAGTGATATATGTGCACCCATGTTCATAGCAGTGCAGTTTGTAATAGCTAAAACTTGGAAACAGCCCAAATGCCCATCAACTGGAGACTGGATAAAGAAAATGTAGGGTTTTTTTATAAAATGGAGTACTACTCAGCCATAAAAAATGAGAAATTAGAGACATTTATAGCTAAGTGGATGCACATTGAGGCAATACTCTTAAGTGAAATAAATAGGACACAGATGTGTAAATACCGAATAGTTTCTCTGGTGTGAGAAACTGAAAGTGTAAATAAGGACTAAATGTATAATAGGTAATGTGAAATAGGAAGAAAAGGGCCAAAGGGGAAGGAAGTGGGAGGGCTAAGGGAAAGGATAGAAGGGAATGGGATTAATATGAGAAAATGGAAAAATAGGAACAAAATCTTTGTAAATAGGGAGGGCTGGAGGGGTTGAAGGGAGGGCTGGGTAAAGGTGAAAAACAAGAACCAAGAGAGACTATGTAAAGGTGCAAATTTCCAATGATGAATGTCATTATATTGTATACCTAAAATGTATCAATGATTAGAATGAATAATCGATAATGTAAAATAGGAAGAAAAGGTCCAAAGGGGTAGGGGTAGTGGGAGGCACAGGGGAAAGGAAAGAAGGGAAAGGAGAAAATGCTGAGAAATGGAAAAAATGGAAATAAAGTCTTTGTAAATAGGGAAGGGTGGAGGGCGTGAAGGGAGGGCTAGGAATGGGGAAAAAATAAGAACCAAGATGCATTATATAAAGGTGCAATTCCCAATGAGAAATGTAATTGTGTTGTATACCTACAATGTACCAATAAAAGAATTTAATACAAAAAAAAATAAAAACAATTGCTGGGGGAGCTGTGAGGAAAAAAGAACCCTTCTCCACTGCTGGTGAGAGTGTAGACTGGTGCAGCCACTTTGGAAATCAGTGTGTAGGCTCCTCAAAAAGCTAGGATTAGAGGTTCCATTTGATCCAGCTATTTTCCTTCCAGATATCTTCCCACAAGAATTAAAAGCATAGTACCACAGTGACATATGCACACCCATTTTTACAGTGGCAGAGTTTTTAATAGCTAAATCTTGGAAACAACCCAGATGCCCATCAACAGATGAAAGGATAAAAAAGATGTGTTTTGTTGTTTAATGGAGTAGTACTCAGCCATAAAAAAGGATAAACTTGAGACATTTCTAGGTAAATGGATGCACCTAGAGTCCATACTCTTAAATGAAATAAATCAGACACATACATGTAAATATTGCATTGTCTCTCTGGTGTGAGAAACTGAAAGTATAAATAAGGACCAAAATATGTAATAGATATTGTGAAATAGGAAGAAATTGTTCAAAATTATACCGTGTGAAATACTTTGTTATTAATTAAAATATTTTTGTAAAACTTTTAGAATTATTAGGAAATTAGTTGAGAGACATTATTTTCAATAATTGTATTTTCAATACAATTGAAAATGTATTCTTTTAAGATCATGAAACACAGTGTATTTACCATTATTATTCTCTAGTTATTTTTGTTATGAAAATTATTTTTCCATAGAACTGTTTTGATATTTTATTAATATCTACTTGTATCACATTAAAATAAAAATTAAAACATGAAAAAGAGAAGGAATGACCCAGAGACATGTGCCAGATGACTCAGCTTCTCTATGGGGATGACAGTTTGACCAGACGGAAAAGGCAGCGAGTGCCCCATTGGACTGGCTGTTAGGATGGCTCTGGTTCTTGGATCTTTTGCCCGGGGGGACAGTCTGACCTCCAGTGGTCACCTTTGCAATCAGGGCATGGCCCAGGGGGGGCTCTTATCTCAGTTTTTCCTAAGGTAGCAGCAGGTGAGTTTAGTTATTGAGCTTTTTTTTGAGCCTTGAAAATCAGACAGGTTTTTTTTCTTTTAGAGCTGTTGCTAAGGCTGCTGGTTTCTCTTGGTCCCTCTGTTTCCTTCCCTTGGCCACCTCCTGCTCTTGATTATAAAATACTGAGGAAGCAATTTTTACTAAAATATCAAGTGAGCTGTCTGAAGAAAAAGCCACCTTTTGTAATTTTTTTAATATCTGGGGCTGACTGGGTAATAAACCTGTCTTTAAGAATAATCGGTCCTTCTATTGAACCAGGACCTAGGGATGTATGTTTTACCAATGTCTTTTGTAAAAGACCTAAGAAGGCAGTGGGGTCTTCATCTTTTTCCTGATAAATAGTTGATAACCTAAAAATAATGGAAGGGCTTACTTTTTGTCCTTCTTAGACCTTTAAGGACACACACCTGAATATGTCTTTTATCCCAACCTCCCATCTGGTTGGCAGCCAAATGGGGGTCTTGTGTAGGGACTGCTTATGTTCCAGTAGGAACTGGTTGCTCCCCAGGCTGCCTGTTTCTGGTCTTTTAAAATTAACAATATGATTTTCATCCCCAAATGTAATAGCAGCTTGTAATGCTGCTTGTCTCTCATTAGAAGTCAATGTTGGATTTAATAACAACATTACATCTTTCCAGTCTAATTCATAGGTCTGAGTAAGTCCTGTGAAGACCTCAATGTACTTGTCAGGGTCATCTGAATACTTTCCCAGATTTTGTTTGCGCTGTCTTAGGTCACTGAGAGGAAAGGACACATAAACATGGATATGGTGGCTGAATTTGTCAGCAAGCTGAAGCCCATGGCACTGGCTCACCAGGTGAATTGCATCAGGGAAAGCTACATGAAGAAAGCAATTTTGTTATCATCTTGACCCCTCAAGTCCATTCTGTCAACTTCATTTCCCTGCTTTTCCATGAAATTCTATGTATACATTGTAGAGTCCCCATTAATTCCCAGCCTTCCTTCTCACAGAAAGTCTCTTGTCTCCCTCTGCTCTTGCCCGGTTTGTTTTTTCAGGTCTTCAGTGGAAGGGAGATGTGAGTCCTTTCTTTTTTGCTCTTCACCTTTTTACCAAAGTCGATGGGGTCTTACTGTAGAACAGGGAAAGGGGACATTACTAGACCCTCTGCAGTAAGTCCTAGTCTCCTGTGAGCCATGACAGCACAAGGCAAATTAATTAATATAGACAGAAATGAGACTTACAGAAGCTGAGCTTTGGGCCTGATCAATGCTGCTCTGGGCAGCAAAGACAAAACACTCTGAGTTTGCCACACCTTTATTCAGTACATCAGGAGTAACAAATATAACAGGTGACTCAGAGGGCAGCAGGGGCGAAAAATTCTAGAACAATGAGGAACTATGTGTTCCCCCCCAGGATGTCTTCAGGTGGTATAATCTTGCCCTGGAACACCACAGTATCACCAGGCTATTGAGGGGTTTTTGTTTTTGTTTTGGTGCCAGGGATCGAACTCAGGACCTTGCACTTGCGAGGGAGGTGGCAGAACCACTGAGCTAAATCCCCAGCCCCCAGACTATTGAGGTCTTAACTGACCAGGGGTGAAAATGGAGTTATGTCTTAACATGCCAAAGCTGGCCTGTAGGCAGGTAAACTAAGCCTAATCATAATTCTAATTGTGAAATGATTTTTCCCCAAAATGATGTAGAACTGCTCCCAACATCTTATCAGGCTGTTTGTGCTTAGAGGTTTCTGATACATTGAAAACTCTTCCCAGGGCCTGTTTGTTGGGGCTGAGGGCTTGAGACCCACCTTCTTAATAAAAGAAGGCTGTATTGTCCAGAGGGGCGCTCTGAAGCCAGGGTGTGTGTGCCTGGCAGTGCTGCCCTGTCCAAGCAAACACCAGCAGAGGGCCGGGGATTAAGCTCAGTGGTTCAGGCGCCTGCCTTGCAAGTGAAAGGTCCCGAGTTTGATCCCTGGTACCAACAAAACAAAACAAAACAAAAATTAAAAGGGCCAGGGATTTAGCTCAGTGGTTCTGCCGCCTGCCTGCCTGCCTGCCTGCCTTGTAAGCAGAAGGACCCAAGTTCGATCCCTGGCCAAACCAAACCAAACCAAACCAAACAAAAAAACAAACACCAGTGGAGACCTGGGTGACCTGTTTGCTCACTGAGAGCAATATCTTCTTGGGTATGAGTTTGCCCTGTAGGGGGCACCAAATCCCAACCTATCCCTTAGCCCTTTTTTTGCCCTCAGGTTCCTAGCAGTCTGAGTCCCTCCAGGCGGGCCCCTGGCCCTGCAGCCCCTCCCTCCAGAGCTTTGACTTGCTGGCAGGTGACAGGCTGGAAAATCCCTCCAGACCATTCTTCTTGGAGAGGACAGAGGTCAGCTCTTCAGCTCCACTTCCCTTGTGTGGCACCTCCTGGCTGGGCTTCTGACTGGGCTTGGGTAACTGACAGCTCAATAGCAACCCCCCTGCCCAGCATACACAAAGAGGGACACTTCTTTTCAGAGTCTTGCAGCTTTCCTAGAAGAGCATTGCTATACAGTTACCCACTGACTGGTTGCTCTGGCTTGGGTACTCCCACACCAGTGAATGCCTGCTTGAAACTTACTAGGCAAATTATCACTGGCACATACAGCTCCTTATTCCAGACATTGCAATCTTTTAAAATTAAAATATCCTTTTATGGGGGCCCACTGCCCCAAACCTGCCTGCCTGTGTGCCAGTCTTCGGCTACCCTGGGGCCTACCTGTGTGCCATTCTTCAGCAACTGTGACTGCTTGTCTGCCTTCCATCAGCAGTGGGATGACAGCAAGAGCAATGACAGCCAGATCTAGACAACAGCAGAGAGCAGAAAGACCATTATTCTAACCTGAGGAAGATAGTAGAGTGGTGAGCAGCAGAGAGAGGGCCTCTCCCAGGCTTGTTGTGAGAAGTGAAGCCCACTGGGAGAGGGAAGATAGCCACTGCAGTAAAGACCCAGTGGGCTCCAGTGGTTGGTGAGTGGTTGGGATCAACACCTCCTATCAGAACACAGACTTGCTGTGGGGGAGAAATGGCCAGTACCTGCAGCAGAATTGTATAGGGTTCAAGCCCACAGGAGGTCAGGAAGCTCACTCTGGCTTCACAACCAGAAACCAGCCTGAATCTCAGTGGACTACAGCTGGCTTGCTAAGAATAAGTGACTCAGATCTGCGCACTACTGCCCACATTGTCTACCAGTGACAGCAGAGACATGCCTTGAAGGGGACTTCTTTTTTTCTTTCTTTTTCTCTTTGCTTTTCTCCTCCTTCATTCCTCTTCTTCAGTTCTATCCTTGCTTGTCCCCGTTTTTCCAGTTTTGTTTTTTCTTGATTGTTCTTTTTTCTATAAGGGGTTAAATGCAGTTTCTAGTTCCCCTGTTGCTGTTCGTTTTGTTCTTGCTTTTGTTCCTTCTTTCTCTCTTTTCCTCCTATCTTCACCAGTTTCCCAAAGTTTACATGATCTTTCTGTGTCCTCTAGTCCTACTTCTAACCTTTCCCTCTCCTTCTAGTTCTCTATTCCCTCCAACTTCTTCTAAGTCTTCTTCCCAAAAGGTAAATTCACTATACTGAAGGGTTTATTTACTGCAAATATATTTCCAGGTGATCCTAGACTTTGATATATAACCTCAAGACTAGTTCATGCAGTAGAGGGAGAAAGATAAATGCTTACCACAATTCGTCATTTTCTAAGCCGTGTTTGATGCTATTGTTGATGCTGATTGTATTACTTTGGCCAAGGTGATGTGATGGGTCTAGTCAGTTGTACACTGAGACTGAGATTGCCTAAGGGTCATTATAGACTCAAAACCCAAAGACCAGGAAGGCAACTCTGAGAAGTAGTCATTCCCTATGGGCTCTAAATACTGCCAATAAAGATACTTGCAGTAAATAATATGCAAGCATCAATCCAGGAATTAAACCAAACAACAACAACAACAACAACAACAAAATAGAAATGAGAAGACAACTAAACAAGATGCAAACCCAGACTTCCAGATCACCAAAAGCAAATCCAGGTGGCAGAGAGATGGAACAATCTGAAAGCCAATCACCTGGACTTCCTGAACTGGTAACAAGGGAGGTAATGAAAGAGGCTCTAGAAAAAATGAAATCAGAAATATTTTCTCAGACAACAACAGAGATTGTGACCATAATGAAAGATATGATTAGAGAAAAGAAACAAATCACATACAAAGGAAAGACCATCAGAAAAACAGTGGACTCCTCAAAACAAACCCTCAAGTCAAGGAGACCTTGGAGTAAAATATTTCAAGTCCTAAAAGAAAACAACCTTCAACTCAGATTGATGTATCCTGCAAAACTATCTTTCAGAATCAATGGAGAAATAAGATATTTTCATGACAAAGAACACCTAAGGAACTTTATGAATACCAAACCAGCACTCCAAAAATAATTCTAAACAATATAATAGAAAAAGGCAATGAGGATCACAACTCCATGAAGACCAACAGTATGAAACCATCAGACAAGGCAAGAAATTAAATGCAAAGGTGGAGGGGATCCAACAACAGGAAAAGATTATGACAAGGATAAGTCAATACATATCAGTTATAATCATCAATGTTAATGATCTCAATTCACGAATCAAAAGATATAGACTGGCAGAATGAATCAAGAAAGCAAGATCCAACAATATGCTGCATACAAGAAACACACCTAATTTAAAAAATTCATAGACTGAAAGTTTTACAGTGGAAAACAATATTCCATGCAACAGGTAACTGAAAAAAAACAGGGGTAGTTGTATTTGTAGACAAAGTGGATTCAAAAAAAGACTAATTAAGAGAGAGAAAGAAGGTCACTACATCCTTGTAAAGAGAACAATCTAAGAGGAAGAGATGACAATCATAAATATATATGGCACCAAATATTAGTGCACTCAACTATATAAAACAAATATTAATGGACATAAAAAGTCAAATAAGTAGTAATATAATAGTAGTGGGGGACCTCAAAACCCCACTGTCAAAAATATCCTTTTATGAGGTATAAATTATATACAGTGAAATACATATCTAATGGATACAACTCAACAAAAATTTATATATAGATTTAACCCATGTAACTGCCACTCATATCAAAACCGTATTTCTAAACTGCAGTCGGCTGTCTTATATTCCTCTCCAAAGAGATACTTTCCTAAAGATAGCCACTACTCTGACCTATAACCGATTCATTTTTGTCAGTCTGAGGAGAATATATAAATGAACTTTTTAGTGGCTGACTCCTTTTGATCAACATTATGTCTGCCAAGTTCATCTTAATTGCTATATGTTGTAGTGGTTTATTTTTATTGCAGTGTTGTATTCTACTTAATGACCCTGCCACACTTTGTCTTATTCTTGGTGGACATGTCAAATGCTTCCAGTATAGAGTTTAAATGAAAAAAATGTTGCCACATTCTTGCATGTATCTTGTCCATATAATTGCAATGAAGTCATATATTGTATTATCACCCATATATTTTATGTTTTAGTATTTTTACATCTTTTGTGGAACCAATATAGTAATTGATTCCTGCCTTTGCAAGTCCATAAAATTGATTTCTATTGGTCTTTCCAGGGCTATTCAGGCCTAAAGATGTGATTACTTATCACAAGAGGTAGTGCATATGAAGATATTTTGTTGCCTGTAAACATTTATTTCAAAATGTTAATTTTAATAGGACACTGATGTAGTATAAGTCTTAGAAATTATTTATGCATTTATGACTTACAATTCAATTCATCCCATTTTGGGTTGACCTGAGGAAACAAATGATCAATGAGAGGTTTGCTTAGAGGATGTGGATTTAGGGCAAAAAGAATTGAATGGATGCAGTGGGTGGTCTACTGCGTGCGGTTGAGGAACCTAACCAAGCATCAGCATCACCGTGTGGAGCTTCTTATTCTCTCCCAGGAACTTTCAGACATGTGTCATCAAAATGGGCAATGTCTGTGGTTGTCTTCCATCTTTTCTGTTGAGTTGGTCTTATTTCCTCACTGAATTACAGAAATTTTATTGTATAAGTATAACCCTACATCAAATCTGTCTTTTATTATTTACTTATGATGTTTTCTTTTTGTCTCATTTTTCTTTTAACCTAGTGTGATTTTGCAATTAAGTTTTTTCAAGTGGAACTAGAAATTACAATTCTTTTTCTAGAAGTCTATAGGAGAGAAACATGGTCTTAGGAAAATTTTATCCATAAACTTACTGCTATTTTGTGCATTGGTGAGGCATGAATTGTCATCATATAATTTTAGTGCAAAGTGCATTGATTCATCTCAGAAAAATGAGTGTTCCTTATGAACAGAGCTTGGAAACCTCTACATTATATTTTTCAGTTCTCTTCTCTCCATAGGAAACATGTGAATCAAAATATTTCCCTTAATTAAAAAATGTTTTTCACACATTTTAAAATATTAAAATTAAGCCAAGTCTTTAACAATTGACTGTAAAGATGATAAGGGTTTCACATAGGTAGGCAGAATGGTATCATTTGAAAACTTTCACAAGGTGATGAAAAGCTTAACTGATCTAGGAAATAGTACCAGAGAAGAAATATGAAATATTATATCTCCCAACCTGTTTGATGTCTGATATGCTGAGCTTATGTTCTCTAAAAATCAAAGAATGAATTCTAGGATCAATAGAGGTTAAGAGTAGGAAGATATTTATTGAGAGGATAGTTCCTGAGAGGCAGGAGGGATCCCAAATAGGTAGCTGAGGTCTCCACTCTATAGGGGAGTTTTATAGAGCAAAACCCACATGGATACAATGTGGGCCACAGCCATGATCAACCAATAAGTTTACAAGTATAGTCACTTAGGAAATAGTGGTCCCATTGGGAAACAAGTCATTTAACAAGTGTGGATGGAAAAAACAAAAACTTTTGCTAAGAAATAGTGGGTCCAGAGGTCTCTGGTCATGTGACTGATGTTTATTTAGACTTCATTAGGCCCAGTGTCTCTCCTTTGAGGAAGTATACAGGTCTGGTCAGCCTGTCTTTATCTTGAGGCTCAGTCTTCAACAGATGTGTCTCTGGCTGCAGTTGTGATGTGTTTTACCTTTGTCTGATTCTCTCAGGGATGTAGCCCTATCTAACTGCATGTAATATTTTTACCTAACTCAGCTGTTTATAATATTCCCCCCTCTGAAGAAGTACTCCAAACTGCCATGAGGGGGTCAGGGGTGACGACCATTCCAGCTACTTCAGGCTGGAAGGGGTCATAGTTGTGATCAGCAGCCAGAGATACCTTCCAGAGGGCCTATCTAAAGGCCCTTGATTGGCATCAGGGATTCTTGTTGTGGGTAGGTAGAAAGCTCTAAGTCTGGAGGACTCAGGCCAAAGAAACAGCTAAATATACATGGGCCAAACAATGAGATCAACAAGACTATTATGACTAAACTAACAAATATTTCCAGCAGGAAGAGCCAGTAATAGACTTCCATAGGGAGGATAAGGAGAAGTTCCAGGGAATCTCAGACTCTGACATGGCCTTAACCAGTTGTTTAATATCTTGAATAGCCATCAAGATATTAGCAGAAGTGTCAGGAATGAACACACAACATTCAGCTTTTACAACTGCAAAGGTACCACATTTCACTGCTGTTAGTATGTCTAATGCCATCTGATTTTGGAGATTGGCTTGTCTGATTAATTTTACTTCTTCATTTGAGAGAGAGAGAGAGAGAGAGAGCAGTTGAGGTGTCATTTAAGGCTTATTAAGTATAATTAGTCAAGGCCTTGATGTGTTTCATAACTTCTAATCCTAGGGAAGAAACAAAGATAAAAGCCAAATGATCATACCAGTGAAACACAGTTCTAGACCATTGATGTTATAGGTAGGGTAAATTTGCACTACTGCCTTATGATCATACAAATCCCAGTGTGCATCTTCCTATCCATCCAGTGTGTAGCCAGGGCCATAAATTGGTTCTACAGGAACCAATGAGTGCACTGGGGACTTCCTATCTAATTCCAGGACAATTAAACCAGTCTGTTGTAAGCCAGCCTTTGACCTATAAAACTATAGTGTGTATACATTGTTTAGGGAGTGTCTATCCCAAGTATTTAGTAGAGCTAGGCCAATGAGAATAGGAGTGATTTTTTTGGTTCCCAACATAAGGGGGCCTTTCTACTAAGTTGCTGTATAGCTGGAGTTAATCACATGTAATAATCCCATATCTGAAAGTAACCATCTTGATATCTATGATTCTTGACTCTCATTATAGGGTCTTCATTTTTACTTAATAGGGGTTTTACTAGTGTCTGTAGAGAAGCTTCAGTGGCATTTTAAGAAAATTCTTGATTATGTACAGGACCCTTAAGGGTAGAGTTTATAGGCCATTCAGCTACTTTATAGTAGTCGGCTAAGTTATGAACAATTAAACTTTTCATGTCTCACCAATGCATTCTTGTAGCTTATTCCAATCATCTCCTTGAAATCAGGATACCCACCAAGGAAGTCCTGATGTACTTGACAAAGGGAGCAGGCTATATACCCAGCAAGATGTTTGTTGTAGGCCATTCCACTGCTCCTAGGGCAGAGGAGGTGAGCCAATCCCAGCACCCAGGAGGAGGCTCCCTGCCACCATTCCATAGCTCCTAGATCAGAGGAGGTGAGCCAATCCCAGTGCCCAGGAGGAGGCTCCCCACTACCATTCCACCACTCCTAGGGCAAAGGAGGTGAGCCATGCAGGTGCCATCAGCACACCCCCCACCCCTGGGGAAATGAGAAGACATGTAAACAGGCCTCAAAAACAGACTTCCAGATCACCTACAGCAACCCCAAAGGGAAATGAGATGGAACAATCTGATACTCAACCACCTGATCTCCCTGAACTGGCAACAAAAGAGGATCTGGAAAAAATTAAATCAGAAATAATTTCTCAGAAAACAGCAGAGATTATGCCCATAGTGCAAGGCATGATTAATAAATCTAGAGAGGACACAGATAAAAAAAAATAGAGGAGCTGAGGAACATGATGGAATCTCAATATAGGAAACAAATGGAATCCATAAAACAGATACAAACAGATTTCCA